AGTAGTATGATAGAAGCTTTGAAGAGAGTAATCTTCTAAACAGAAAGATGACAAGGTAAAATATCTTCAACAGATAATAAAGATTTCATAGGGGGGGAAGTGACTTTTTTTTTATTTAAGGGTTTTAAAGGTTATAAAATTGTACCATTCAAATGATTCATAAGAGTACATGAACTAAAAGGACTTTTATATGGCTAGACGAATTTCAAAGAAAAAAAAACAACCCCAAATCTCTGGATTCCAACACCCGGTAATGCCATATTCCTCAAAGTAACACATGAGCATCTTTTCCAGTATGGCAACTCCTACATTGTTGTTTCTTTTTAATAATACAAATAGGCTGCTTAAAACAGTCCATTTTTTCTTCTAAAAAAAAAGTAATATATTGGTGTGGCTGTCAGGAGTCTAAAGATATTTTGTACAGATGTTTTAAGAAAACAGCAGGACTATATGATTCCTTTTAAATTCAGAAGCATTAAAGTTAGTATTTATTCTCAAAACACTGTTCAGTTTTCCGGAAATGCACTGAGAATTATATGTAAATAAACAAAGAAAACCCCTCACCAATTTCATTTTGCTGCACACTCTACATTTACCCGTAACATCACCCTCTATCGGGCCTGAAATTTCCAGCACCATCATACCGTACTGTAGCACTAAGAATGCACACTGATGCGTGTTAACCAAAAATCAAAGATTTAAGGTCTTCTTTCCCCTAGATACTTCTAATTCCTCCTCCCACAATAAAGAAGGAAAGTTATCATTTTTCCTTATATGCAGATTATTTTTTAAGAATCACAGATAGAGAAAGTAAAGAGAGTTTCAAATTTATTTTAACATTTATTGAAATTAATATATTAAAACCATGGTTGACTATTTTGAAAATCCTTCTACTTAAAAATTTTGAAAGCCTATTTTTAAACTACTACTGCTAGATACACTTTCAGATTATTTTGGCACATCTCCAAATATTTTGAAATCCAGTGGCAAAATACTAACGATTAAGTTATAAACATTAATTTTGCTGGTAAAAGAAACTATAAGTTGACATGCATGCATTTCCACACAGGTTTTATCTCAACCTTCTAGATTCCTCCTTCTAAAGTTAGTGGGATTAATCATTCATGACACTGCTCTTATTTGTTACTCCAAAGAAAGAGACATTTCACTATTCAACACTGCAGAATTCAGAGCAACACAAAACCTAAGCTTACTTTTTATTTAGAAAAACAATTAAGATCACTTATTCAAAAATATCAGAGCACAGTCTAGCTCCTCTTCCAACAGTAAACTTCTATCATTAGTAGTTCTTGAAAGGTTTTGCTTGAAGTGGTGATAGTATATATTTAGAAATGATACAAAGCAACTTACCTTGAATCACCTGAAAAACCCCGTGGGAAAAACTAGAATGATTTCCAAACACAGTCCAGTGCTGTTGCCCTAAGACCATCCATCTTTACATACACTCTTAAAATTAAAATTCCACTGTGTCTGACAGGGAAGATCAGCTACGTAAGAACTGGATGGACATAGGATCCTGTGCCCTAGCCATATTGTGAAAACAGTCTACAAAGGACTGTTATTGTTATGCAATGATGTGATTAATTTCAGAGGCTTCATATTGAAAAGATATAGCATCTTCAGCCAGGAGCAACATCTGGCATCCCATGTCATCCAGGACAACATGATAACACCCAACTTTATAGAAAGATATCTACATCCATATGAATTTCCCAACAGTTTTACCAGCTGTGAAATATCCTGAAAAAAACCTGCGCTATTTCAGAGTGCGATTTAAATTATATGTTCAATAGTTGTTCAATGTTAAATTGCAATTTACGGTCAGCAATGACCATCTGTAGCCACTTAACAGCTTACTTTCATCAACAATTTGATTTTACTAAGTTCTTGGTACCAACACACTATTGAGATGGAATATGGTTTTCAAGGAAGTGTCAGACACTAGCTGGTAGTACAAAGATTTAGTACCTTGACAAATAAGTAGCAGATATCCAGTCAAACTACACTGAAGTCTAATCTAGAGCTCAAACCAGATAGCATGCAATATATAAAGGCCCTCCTTCAATTTGCCTTGATGATTTGGTAATCTATGTATTTTTTCCTACAGCAAACCTCAATACACCTATCACGTTTTATACCACTAAAAAACTGCCAACGACAAACTGCCATTAAGAGGTGATGGTTTGGTCTTGATGATAGATGCAAATATCTAGTCCCCCAAATTTATTTCCTTTATATGGAAGGAACAGTGGCTATACTGACCAGAAGAGGATTTTAAAGCAACATGTACGCAAACACACACCTGGACACTTGCATAACTTCTCTTGTCACAAAGTGACCAATTATATTGAGAGGCAAGTAATTACTAGTAACTGCTTTTACAGGTCAGTTTGCAAATCAGAGATTGTGCTTGCAGTTTACTGCTCAAGTAAATGTTTATATTTTAAGATGTTTTAAAAAATGAAATTTGATTAAATATAACCATGTTAAGACTGTGCACAAGCTCACATTCATTGGAAGTTAATGGTGCCCAAACATTTCACTTGAGCAGTCCCATAGCTCCTCCCAGTGGCCATAAGCCTGCCCTAGCACATTACGAATTTGAAACAACCAATAAACATCTCAGATTAATAACCTACAAGTACCATTATAGCAGAGATACCAGCATTCTCTGAACCTACAACTACATTAGACATTACAAACTTAGAAGGTTTCTACATGAAATAGCATGCTATTATCTATGTTTGAAAACTGCTTTTAAACTATTCCTAATGGTTTGGATATATGCACACAACTTAATGCAAAGCCACAATTCATGTTCACTGCACCTAAAAGAATGGTGCCCCGTCTTTCCATTTGGGTCATCACAGTTTTTCACTCTGCATTGATAGACCAACAATACAAGCAACTCTCTGCAGAACTATGAAATTCAGTGAGCATTAACCCACTGATCATACTCCACATACCTCAGAGGAGTTACAGATGTCCTCTCAGACTCGCCCTCATGACAGGGCGAAAAGAGAAAGAAAACACAGCAGTTACCTACTGCCATCTCCTGCTGTCCTTACATAAACCCACTGAGCTTAGCACACATTCTCTGAAAGCTCTCATGGAAAGAAATCTCTCACTTAGCAATGTGCAACCCACAGACTTTTAAAAAAGAATTTTGTATTGGAACTAAGTTAGCTTCCCAGTCTGCCAACATCAAACACAAAGTTCTGTCAACAAGAAATCTCATTTAAAAATTCATTATAGTATACATTATCAACTATATTTGTAAAGTAAAGGAGAGGGGAGGAACATCAGCTTCACAACTCTGATATAGCCATGACTTTAACTCAAGTTTAATACTAAACCACCAGTATGTGGTGGTTTAAACCACATACTGCTAAAACAAATGCAGTAATAATTTTACACAAAACTAGATAGCTAAAAATTTCACTCTACTAAAAATTTCTTCAATGCTTACAAAAAACCCTGACATTTAATAACACCATTGCCTTTAGAACCTTGTGATAAGTTTTGCAACTGTCTTAACAGGGTAAACACCCACCTTTCTCAGAGAAAAAAAAAAACAACGCTGTCGAAGTGTGTTTTGTAGTACAACTATCATTGACAGGCAGGTAGGGCAATGAAAGTCAAATTTCCTTTCAAACTTCCAGAACATATCACAAGAAATGTGAACACAAAATAATTGGTTTCATTTCTTAATTAGATGCTTTAATTTATAGTAAATTACTGTATTTATTCAGAGTATTAATCTTAAAATAATTCTTAACCTCATGACAGGACACCTGCCTTTAAACAGAAAATTTTAGTAGTTTAAGTCTGTATACTTACTATCACGGTAAATATAGAGTTATTTCTTTTAATTAGGAAAAATTCTTTTGCCAATGCCTTCCCACCCTTCTCTTTTTAAGCTAGTCAAGTTTTTAAGTTTCATGCAAGGCTTTTAAAATGAAACTAGATAACCCAATAAATTGCCACCATAGTGGTTTCACTCATACTTCATTTTTAAAAGAAATTCATAGAAGGCATAACCAAAGCAATCATGTACTGTTCTGTCGAGAAGATATCAAAGCTAAAATTACAGTTTCTGAAAGCCTGATCCACTTTTAACCTGTCATCAAAAAAGCAAGCAAGCAAAAAAAAAAAAAAATCATAAACCACATAATTTATGGCTCAAACAGCTTGCTTAACCCAGAGAAGACAAAACTAAAATCAGAGTTCTGCTTTGCACTCTTTCGAAATTCCATGTACCCATTCACACCACGTCGTTTTACTACATTTCACACCTAGAGACTCAAGTAAAACCTCTTAATACATCTCCTTTCTCGTTATTCAGCCACAGCTACTTCAATTAAGCAAACAGCTGTAGTTATCCCTTGATTCCAGATCCTTCTTTCTGTCAACTGCCAGATTGTCAAAGTTCCTAAATGGCAGTCTTCCCAACAGTTTTCCACCCAATTATCTACTTCAAGATTCATTTCCCCTGTCCTGAAACCCAGCAATCCTTTAACTAAGTCAACTTTTTGCTGAAAAAAGTAGTAACATGATTTATAAAGTAAACATTTTAACTGCTTGATAACTTAAACCTGCTTTAAACAAGACATTTTACCTTTGAAATGCTCACTTGGCAAGTCAAATATCAATTACAGCTGAAAACATGTAGAACTTAACTCTATACAAAATCAGCCAAAATTTTGAGAGCTGTTAGCTACAGATATCCCCAGAATAAAGGGTGTTATGGGCTCCTGGCAAAATTAAACACTTGGAGCTTAGCCCATAGCATAAGGTGTCTTTGAAAACCAATACCAATTCAATCACAAACACTGCATCAAAAATGCTTCGGATAAAGAATGGAATGAATTCCCCAAACTTCATGAGTACTATTAACAATCTAATGTAAACCCTAGCACATTATCTCCTTCTTCCTCAAAAGCTACTTTTTATCAATGGGAATAAAAACAATGTAATACCTTTGACCAGTTGATTCTCTTCATTGTGACTTCCAGCTTATACTTCTTCTTCTCCTTCATTCCATGTGGTAACGCTGGTATCACCGGAAAGGGAGCAAAAGGAACACCTCCAAGAGCTGGTGGCATTGGAGGCCCACCAAAAGGCAGTGGTGGAGGAGGTGGTGCTGCTCCACCAGGCAGCGGAGGCGGTGGAGGTGGTGCTGCTCCACCAGGCAGCGGAGGCGGTGGAGGTGGTGCTGCTCCACCAGGCAGCGGAGGCGGTGGAGGTGGTGCTGCTGCACCAGGCAGCGGAGGCGGTGGAGGTGGTTCTGCTCCACCAGGCAGCGGAGGCGGTGGAGGAGGAGGAGGAGGTACTGCTCCACCAGGCAGCGGTGGCGGCGGCGGAGGTATTGCTCCACCAGGTAGCGGAGGTGGTGGCGGAGGAGGAGGAGGTATTGCTCCACCAGGCAGTGGAGGTGGTGGAGGAGGTGCTGCTCCACCAGGTAGCGGAGGCGGTGGAGGAGGTATTGCTCCACCAGGTAGCGGGCGGTGGAGTAGGTATTGCTCCACCAGGTAGCGGAGGCGGTGGCGGCGGAGGAGGTATTGCTCCACCAGGTAGCGGGGGCGCTGGAGATGGTGGCACATTCTCACTTGATAGGGCTGGAGGTAACGGTGCTACTTCTGTCAGTTGACCTGTCAGGCCTGGTCCCTGAAATATTAAAGAGGAATTCTTTTCATCAGGGGTGGGAAGGAGGTTTAATATAAAGTTGAATCAATTAGCATGTCTTGTAGTCAACTGTACCTCAATAAAGTGAGAAATGCAACCATTCTCCTATTTAAATGAGAAGCAATAACAATAGATTATACCATGTACCATAAAACTGCCAAGTAAACTGAATAACCTAGCATTTTTATAAAAACAAATTGTTTCCATTTTAAAGAAAATTTAATAGTAGCAGTAACATTTAAGTGAACAGAACAGCATTTTATTTCTTACCAATGCTCAAAACATTTATCCCACTTAGGATATCCTGGCAAGCTGGGGCATCAGAGATTGTAATAACCATGCTGAATTTTAACAACACTAATCTGCTGGTGGAAAATTTTTCATAGAAATCACTGAAGCAGCTAGTGCAGTGCAAGAGGTTATGGGCCCACAGTTGTTCATAACTATCCTGACATCTTGCGGGGGGAGAAGGGGGATTAAAAAAAGAAGAAAAAAAAACTCATGCTTTCTTTTAAATCTGTCTGCAGTTGTTTCTCTGGTGATAGGAAGAAAGAGCAATTGCAATATCCATTCCAGTAAGTTTTAAAAGGAACAATGAAGAGAAACAGCAGCATGTCAAACCATCAGAGAGGTTTCTGTAGAGATAACAGGATCCTAGCCTAGTACAAATTCCTCAGAGATACCTGTCCTTTAAAACTATCTGTTAAAAAGCAGCATCAGGAGCTATGCAAAAGCCTCCATACGAGCTCATATTCCATTTCCTCTACTAACTAATGTTTTATTACAAAATTATTATGTAATATAGGCTGTTCATTTAATCTGATTTGCATACTATTTCCCTACGCAATTATTTACGGTTTCCAGTTTAAAGGAAGCAAGAGTTTGTTAAAAAAAAAAAGCTGAGCAAAATCTGAGTGCATCTAAAAATAAATGCCACAATATATCGTATGGGGAGCATAACACTAGAGAAAAAAAGGCATAGATACTAGAAAGTTGATGTGTATCACTTTTAATTGTACCATTATTGTGAATGAGCTGTAACGTCTGGATAATCTGATTTGTGTTAGTATCAACATAACAGGATTAATAATTAAATAGACTAGAAATAAAGTTTTGCCTTTGCACAAGGCATGTGTTTCTTTGGCCCACAAACTACTGCTCAAGTTGTAATGCAACAATTGGTGGAGAACTCATTAAAACAGACTGTCAAATTTCAGTGTAACATTGTCTTGTAGATATTTGAAACAAACGTTAAAATTGCTAAGAATGAACAGAAGTGTCTGCATATGAAAACAGAATAACAAACCATAAGACACCACAGGTTACGAGAATGACTTGTATTGATAGCAAAGGATAAAATGAACAGCAATCCAACTGTTAAATGCAATGTAACGTGCTTACATTAAGATTGGAAAGCCAGTGCTCTGATAAGGCTATAGCACAGACAACTTGCTAGCAGAAGACCAGCATCCTGAAAGCAGGATGAAGGCACCAGGTTATAGCACATCACATGCTATTGTTCCTCTTATTATCCAAATAGGAAGTGAGACCATAGGCATTAAGATATCCACAATGAGGAAAAGAGGCAACAGGCAGACCTTGCCTAGCATTGAAGGACTAGGAAGTAAGCCAGGCTGAGGCAAAAAGATCAAACCACAGTATCAGTTGGTTCCTAAAGGGTATAAAAGACCTGTCTAAAACCCAATTTATTGTCATTAAACAAAAGCAACCCAAGAGATATTGTGAGCGCTCAACAGGCAGCATTTCTTGTCCTCTCTGCTTCACCAGTGATCTGGGACAGATCACTTGGAGATAGAGTTTTGGTGCTTGTGAGCAGAATTCATGACGTAATGAATGCAAGTAAAATCAGCTTTGCTGAAATTAAGTATCATCTTCCACTTCCATCAGGTCTTGCATTTTTTGTTCTATTTACCTACAAGACTGTAAAAAGCTAGTGTAATATTCATTTTAGAAATGGCTACAGTCTGATATCCAGAGTTCAAAAAAAAATTGTTATCAGTTGCATGCACATGCTGAAAGGTATGTATATTGTGCGTGCATGCACATGCTGAAAGGTATGTATATTGTGCACACACAGCTATCACGATTTCCACCTTTGCAATTCAAGTATAAAGCCCTTCTGAAAGAAACACTTTCTGCAAAACATACAGAAGTAGTAATGTTAAAGTATAAACAAGTACTTGGAGAAAAAAAACTCAGGCTGGATTCAAACTTTTCATAGCCTAAGGAATTTTTTTCCTCAATAAAGCAAATATCTGTGACAGATGTTGAATATACTACTATTTGAAAAAAATGATACCTCCATTAACTATCCTTAGTAGTTTATACTGGCTTAAAAACAAATCTATACAACTATAACATACATTTCAAACTCCATAGAGACAATACACTCCTAGGCAATTTCTTTTCAATTCTTAAAATAAAAATAGAATAAAATAAAATTCAACTTGTAACTTACTGTGATTTAGTTTTATTACCTGGGTTCGTAGATGTTTGATTTCCGTTTCAAGTTCTTTGATTTTCTCTTCTCGTTTCTGAAGCTCCGATTGTGCCTCTTGTCGAGCTGTGAACTCTTCATCAAACTGTAATGATTAACCAACACAGAAATGTTTGTCCATTTATGTCCACACTAGTTATTATACTTTCAGAAATTCTTTGAACAATATCACAACTAGTGCAATAGATGCACCTTTAACTTCAAAAAAACCATGTATTTTTCCAGTATGTGTTCTTCTAGTACCACATAGTTTCTTCCATTAATAAGTCATGACACAGAACCACGCAGATCCAGCTACTTAGTACAGCTGTAAGTTCAACAGGTTTTTTCCCCCGCCCAACAGAACATTGCAGACTTTTCAAAACTCAAGTATACACCTCATGTAGCGAGCTTAAATCTGAAGAGATATGTATGCAGCTTCAGCAGTATCATCCATAAAGTAATGTAAGAAAGGAGGTATCCAAATAAGTTAGTGATCCCTTTGGTCTTGATGTTCCCATATAAAATGGAAGTCCAATTTACAACACGATTGTGAGAAATTTACTGTGTATTTTCATCCTGATACTGTTTGGTAGGCTTAAGAGATTATTAGCATCTTTTAAAGCTTCTATTATTCATTCTTCCACAGGACAAAACAACTTATCACTAGGAAGAACATGTGTTGACTGCCACTAACAAAGTACATTATGATAAATAACTCTGCTAGGGAAGCATCACAACAATCTGCTTTCTATAAAGCTCCAGACACCACAACTCCTATTAAAAATGCATCCACATTTAACATTGAAGAGAGAAAAGCTAATGACTTCACTCAAACCTTCATTTGAAATTTGTAATCATCATGTTCAATAGCATGTATTGCCTTTTGGCTTGCCAAAGGCTTCTTAGACCAGGCCAGCAAAAATCAAAACTTTGAATGCTTTCAATAAACAACAATATGGTATATGAACTTTAGTACTACTGCAGCTAATATAGTACATTCAGCATTTCATATCCATAGATAGGATGCGATGAGCCAAGATTAACAAATTATCCATTAACATAATCTAGTAAACAGGGATTTAAGTCACTTGAGAAAACATGTTGTATCAAGATATTTTCAGCACAAACACCAATAGCGACAAAGCAGAAGGATAAGCGTCAATTTCTTTAGAAATACCCCCCAAAAGTTTTATTACAAGAAATATACTGAGCTGCAATTATTCCTACAGAAAACATTTTAAATGTCTAACCTCTCCTGTATCTAGTAATAAACGAAAACTGCCTATGACCGAAATAGGACTTAGTTATCAAGTTCCCAATAAAAGAGAACTGGAACAGAAGAATAAAACTGTTACCAAAACAGGTTCCAAAATACACTGCAAGATTCCTAAATGTGAATAATAAGGAAATAAATTACTCTCGCTCATAATGTAATAACTTATCCTGGGCATTATAAGGAAATAAAGCAGTATTTTAATGTTAGCATCTCTGTGCCTAAAGAGCCGATGCTTTTTCAAACTGCTTTTCAATAAGTTCCTTCAGGTTCTTAAACAAAGCTAGATGAAGAGTTATGAACATTTCCCCCCCGCTTTTTTTTTTTAAGCATATACCTGCACTTTATGTATTTAACTTTGACTAAATATTTCAGGACAAAATAGCAACAAGCGGAATTTTTCCCATCAGTTATCTACAGCAGAGGAATACAACCGACGATACATACAGCTAGTACTATTCATCTGCTTTTGAATTCTGAGTAAGCTGAATCTGAGCCACGCATATACGCATACACACAAACCCAAAACCCACGAAGCTATTAAATGTGAAAGAACATCCTGCCTGAGATACACTATTTCCCTGTTTCCACTAAGTTTCTACTGAGAAACAAGCCTACTGTGCTCCTGTCAGGCTTCTGTTCCATACCTTTAAAAGAGTGATGATTAGGACTTACCTTTCTGGAAAATTCTGCTGCTTTCTTTTCACTCTCTTCTACTTTAGCTTTGTCCACACATGCATCTAGAATTTAAATAAAATATCACACAGTCAATTCAGGTTTAGACAGAAGCATACAAAGAAAAACGTGCACTTCAGTAAAGCAAGGTAAAATTGCTTATAGTATACAAAAAGTATAGTATACAAACCAATAAGATGAGTAAAATCCACGTCCATTCTTCCTCTACATTTAAAATCCGGGTCCATGCCGCTGCAGTGCAATACTATCTGTGATACGCATTCTTCTATTATCTTGTAATACTGAGGTCTAACAAAGAAAACATTTTACAAGATAATAAGAACATGAACAATCATTTATGCAACATGGAAGGGGAAAAAAGGGGCAACTTTAACTCCTAATATAGGAATTATACAATTTCCAGTAAAAGGATCAACTTAAGTGTCTTATTTGTACTCTGGCTAATGAAGCACTGTTGTCAGTTTCCCAGAAGGATATCTGAAACTCAGGACTCCACAAAATATTATGCACTTTTCATTTATCCTTTGCCAGACAACAATCAATAAAACAAACAACGTCTTTAGTATTTTCAATATATGCTGCAAGAATTATTTAGCACATTCTCAACACAGTGAATTCCATCACTGGCAACAATACCAGTATTCAATTACTTAGAAAATGAGTTAATTATAACTTAATTGCTTGATATACATCTCTACACAACAACATCAGGTACCTCTAAGATGAGGGGATTCTGTGCTCAAAATTATTAGTTATTATCAGTGCAAGGTATTACATCTCAATTTCACATACTGTTGAGCTCTCAAAGTAGGAAACCCTCAAACCTAAACTGATGATACTCCAAACTTTCAAATTAAAAAAAAAAGTTATAAAAATTGAAGATTTCTCAGGTTATATTTACTTCTTGATTTTATAATCTTGCATATCAATTGTTTTTATCATCTCTTTATAATTAAAAAAAAAACTTCTTAAAACAAGATTTTGTATGTGGTACTTTGACACTGCTAAGACATTATGAGGCGCACATAAGAGAAGCTTACATTGAAAAGACAAGATATAAGGCACTGTGGAAGTATTTTCAATTATTAGTTATACAACTAACTTTCAAGTTCTTTGAAGTCATGAAGCTATCAAACTTGTATAAAGGAAAAAGTGCTCAACAAGTTAAAAGATTTTGGGATGAGGGTGTTAGAATAAGGTTCAAGTCTTTGAAATAAGTATTGTTCTATTTAACAAGATCTTTTCAATATTAACATTGAGCAGAAAGACAAATAACACATCAGTTACAGAGCAACTATTCATGCATGATTATGAGCTACTCAGTTTCTGAGGTCTTCATTCCATTCTTACCAGGGTCTTGACTTCTGTTCTTCCCCCTACCCCCTCCAAAAATCAAACCTGAGAGCTGACACTTACCGGACGTAGTAATCACTTCGAATGAGAAGAAAATGTTGGAGAATTGACAAGAAGTAATTTTCAGAAGACGTATCTTTCAACATATTATACAGCAGATGAAATACTTCATTCACATCAGTGCAAACATTGTTAAGGAAATACAAGGACTTAAAAAACAAACAAACAAAAAACAACAACAAAAAAACCCCACTACACAACAAAACACCCACCCCACCCCAAACCCAGTTTCCTAGATGTTGTTCATATTGTTCAAGTAAAACTTTTCAACACTCTGAACTACTATCCTTACTAGCAAATATCCTTTTTCCATTAAGATTATCCATGGAAACTCTGTCCCCTGTTCAACAATTAAGACATGTTTCATTAGTACTCAGAAAAATCATACTACATACTTATTATCACAGAATCCTGTAAACATATTTCACACAAAGCTTTCATTTTCATTCTGAAGTGAGCCAGGCTATTGGTAAACACACACTAGTCCATCGTTTTAATTTCTTAAAGAGGAGTTACCTGTAATTACCTGTTCTGTAATGCAACAACGTAACTTGTTAATGATACTATATTCCTCTCATTGATTGTATCTACCTTCCTCTGCTTCTTAAGTACAGCTACTACTCTTTTAAAAACTGCAAGCAACCATTCTGAACTTAGGTAACTTTAAATTTACTGCTTCTTCACAACTAGAGAAGGCATGCATCTTAAGTGCTTCAGAACCTACTAGAAATTTTGTTCCAACTTAGTTACCAAAACTCATTTTTATTCAAACTTGTAATCTTCCATGGGTGTAATTTTATATCTTCATATATTACAAGCCAGAGTTTAGCTTAGTAAATGCTATTTATGAAAAATTAATTCAGTTCCCAATGACTTAATTTGACATGCAAATTTAAGTACTAATTTTCTAAATAAGTCTTTAACAAAAAACAAGTGAAAGAAACCTGCTTGAGAAAGTCCCTGGTAAGATACACAACTGTGACAAATAAACTGCATGTACAGCATTTTAACTTGCATTTAATAAAGTTATTAAACGATGCAACAAGTTATAACACCATTTCTATAAAGGATATTCCATTTCAGCTCTGATATCATTGAGACGATGTGACAGTTCAATTAAGTCTTCTTCTTTGTTCTCATCAAACACTTTCAGCTGAATATCAAGCTCTTCATTATCCTTATCTTTCAAGCCCTATTTTTCAAGGCATAGTATATGTTAATTTTCCCTTTTTTAAAGCAATAATTCCCCCCCTTCAAAAATTATATCATGACAAAATACAAGACATTAACCTTTGGAACAGGAGTAAGCTGTAACTCAGTGCCTGGGGTTTTCTATCATAATCGCACAGATGAGAAAATTTAAGGCAAAATATCAGCAAATATAGCAGGTATGGGCTGCAGAGCAAACATGAAGCCTTCTAATTGAGTTGAGTTCTCTTAATGAGACATAGTCAGCAGTTTATGCTTGTTAATGTCAGAGCTTCTTTAAAAAAATCGCATAAGGATATTTCAAAACATTAATGAAAGTGAACTTAAGAAGCCTAAAGAAGTGTAAAGAAGATATGCTTACAACTTCTGTTATTAAGTTAACCTAGATCATAGCATAAAAACATCCATAGTACATTTAGAAATACTTACAAAAGAAGTAAAGAAGTAAAAAACCAAAACAAAAATTAGTACTTGGAGCAGGGAAAAATTTGTTTTTCTTGAAAGAAATACAAGCAATTTCCCTCATACACTTAAGAACCAACTTTAGCTTCCTACTAGACAAATCACAAAAAAGGGAACTAGTTCAAAAGCCGTTAGTGTGAACGTATCCATGCTTTAAATGAAAATTGGCCTGGAATTGTCGTAACTGGATGTGCACAAACTGAATGGCAACCGTATATGTTCCCCAAAAAAAGTAGAAACTCATACCAATTCTAGCGTTTGAAAACCAGAGAAGGCTACTGTGAATCTGGACAGATGAAGAGAGAGAAGTATGGATCCTCCTCCTGATTGTTTTTTGTTCAAGAGACTCATTTATAAATTTCTTGAAAATTTACCCCTAAGTACAGATACGAGCATGAAGTCTTCTTAAGATGCTTTACCATTAAGAAAGTTGCTTTCTAATGCAAAAAAACCTTCTCTACCTTCAACATTCATTCCCCGCAAAATTAATGATTCAAGTTCAATGTGTATGTTGCAATACCTTACAGATAAACAAACAGCAAGATGGTATTGACTGTTTTAGTTGATATTACAGCTTACATGAAATATTAACCTTACTAGAGACAGAATTTCAACACAATAGCTGTTCAACATTTTTAGAAAAGATTGTTATCACTAAATATTAATTGCTTTTAAACTCATGTATCTGTATGTCAGTACACTCTACAAAGTTTTCTGTCATGATTTATTACAACTCAGTTTATTTGCCATCTAACCCAACCCCAATTCTTAAAGTTTTTAAGCATTTATTCATTGTGTAAACTAACTTTCAGTGGATTAAAAAAACCCAGAAGTTCTTCACGCTTTCAGATGTTCTACAGCAAATAAAGACAGCAGATCACATTAATGTATCTACATGATATAAAGCCTAAACACATACCCTAAGAAAAATTAACATACACACATCAATAACAGTTTCAAAGCTGAATGTGCTAAAAACTGAAGGTTTTTATTCCTGACAAGTGCTGATGATTCAAAACTTCGTATCTTAAAAGTTACAGCAGTATAAATTCTCTTTCAGACAAATATAAGTGAGTACTCTCATTTCTCTCATCTTTTGTGAGAAACTGCTGAGTAGCTTAATTATACATCTCCTTGATGTAAGCATCAGAATGGTTTCTTGGTTAAGAGCTATAAATCTACCTGTAAGTCACAAACATTCATACACAACTACCCATAAAGGCATACTTCTGTGCAGCTGCATGAAGACATGCAGTCTCAAAAAGAATGAAGGAGTTGATTTGATTTTTCCTTAAAAACTCCAAATGCATTTTCAGAAGACAGATTAGAGAAAAACAGATTTCACAGCAAACAACAGGAACCACATATACAAAGAAAGTTAATCCAAGATTGGTTCCACAGCCAGACTCAGATTTGCTGCATGTGCTTTGAGCTCATTATGCTAAATTTGACTACCCTAATTTAATTTCTAATATATTCACCTGTTTCAACTACCATTCTGGTTTACACAGCTCATGAGTGCCTAAATTTGCAACTATGCAGAATGAAAGCAGATTTGGATTCATAGTCCACTCCAGGTCTGACCTCCCCACCCTCATTCTTTCACATCTTCTACTCCTGCTAAAACAATTTGGTTATCTTCAATGTTCACAAACAGTTGACTGTGATGAATTCCTATATACAAATGACTTACAGGCAATATTTTCTTCAGGCCACAACGTAAAAACTCATTTCTCAAGTGTATCCTGAAATCAAGATCTTCTGGAGATGTAACAAGGGCGTTGATGAGCTGCATACATGCTACCTGTTATCAGAAATATAGGCAAAAACTTTTAGTATGTATAGAATGAAAATAAACACTGTCCTTGACTACTTCAGTTTAATTGACCAAATGTCAAGAGATGGATATGATTTATTATGCGGCACACATGCAACACTTGACTTTGATTAATTTAAGCGACCTTAAATACTGCTCTGTTTTCATATTGTGAGTGCTTCTACTACGTCTAAATTGTATCACATAAAGGATCATACTTTATTTCAGAAAGTTATTCCCACACTACAGTTCCACATTGCAACTCCTTCTCTTTCTCCTCAGTATTTGCCAATTTGAAAACAACCTGTTTTTACAGTAATAGAAAATTAAAAAAAAAAAAACCCAACAAAACCACCCATACACAAAATAATTCACATCACCAGGTGTCTTTTCTACTCCTGCACAGCACTTTTGCAAAATACCTGAAGTCTCAGGATACTGGCTAATGCTTTAATTGAACAGCTGTGCACTTTTAATTGATTTACTTTAAAACAGGTAGACAATAGCATAATGCCAAAAGTGCTGATCCACGTTAAGAGACTAAAATAGGACTCCAGGGAAATACCAAGTTTGGTAAAAGATGTTAACTGCAAATAGAAGTAGCATTAGAGTAGAAAAAAAAAATAAATAAAAACCAATAGCTGCAGAGAAAAAAGTCAGATAAAAGCACCCTTCCTGTTTTAATTACATTCTCTATTTAGTTTTAATGGAACACCTTATGGAGTCTTAAATTTCTATTAAAACACTCTTTTAAAGGCACTCCCTTTATATAGCTGCATCATCAGATAATGTAGTATCATCATGCTCGCTTGAATGATTCCTGTTATTTTACTACTATGACATGCCTTAACAAGCCAAAGTACATGTCCAATCTGAAATTAATAGAGAGAAGAGGTGCCATCTGCTATGATTGCTTTTGCCAGAAGAGACTCTGGCTTAATGGCTTGTGCTAATACATTACAAGTAAAGAACGATTTTGTCATAAACAAGTTAATGAGTCTTGCAACTGTACCTTGACTGACATGTAAGTGAGGTTTCGGGAGGAGCGGGGGGAAAGGGACAGGCAGGAATGTTGTGTGGTTGTTTTTGTTTTAAATCAACAAGGTCATAAAGTAGCAGACAACTTCAAAATGAATTCTTTTGCGATAGCATTATTACGATGAGAATGTCACTTACAGAAACTTATTGAACAGCATTAACTCATCAGCTCTGAAACAAGAACTACTGATGGTAAACATAGCGTTAAGACAACCATAGCTGACATACATATGATCTAATAATGGAAAAAGGTATCCCTTCTGCCCTGCTTGAATTCTACTTTTCCGTATCTTTCAGCCACGGTAGCTGAAATACAAATTTACAAATACTGTATTATGAGAAGGAAATAAGTCAAAGTCATCCTTTAGCAGGATATTCAGCCACTTGGTCTCTACGCAAACACTTGCAGTTACCAAAAAAAAGCAATTAAAAAAGCTTTTTTAATGTTCTAATGCAACCAAAACTCTTGGGCTATTCAGGTGTACACAGAGAATAAAAAACTCTATCCACTGACACATAAGCAGCAATGAGCATGTGACCTAGGACATGACTCAGTAAAGATCACTGGTGCAAAAGACTCTTTATTTTATTATTTTATAAAAAATAATGTTAAAAACTCACTAGATAATCCCTAGAGATCCACCAGTGGCTGATGAAGAGCAGCTGTCAAAACACACACTAAGGAATGCACAGTTCTTGTTGACAGAAGTAGCAGCGATATCCTGCTGCACACTACCAATCTCAAAAGGTACCATGCCAAAAATGGACACACCCCATCCACATCTGTCATAGTTATTATATATCTGAATATTTAAGAGGCTGCATATACTGCTGCCTAAAGTCCCAGCAGTAGTAGCACAGCTGCGTGTATATCTTAGAGATTTCTTAGAAATGGAAGAAATGTGCATGCCTACCTAAGGAAACAGTGTTACATTTTATAACACAAGGACTCAAAAGGACAGGTTAGCATAAAAAGTAAATTACTACACTCTGCCCACAGGGCAATCGCACTGTAGTTCCTGAAGTAATTCTTTTCAATACAGGACTTTGTATGAAAATTAAGCACTCCCTGCAAAGAGAGTTACATTAAGCTATGCATCTGTCTTCAGCTGACTATAAAGCCAGTATACCGAAGGTGAAAGCTATAAAAACATATACTTGACACTGATCAGTTTTGACTGTGGCTTATTTCTGTTTAACGTAGGAGGATGGCTGTTTTAAGAGGATGGCTATGTTGGATGACATCGAGCTTTAAATATCTAAAACTAGCAGTTTTACTCCCACTGAATTTACTTCTCATATTACTAAATGATTAATGAATTATCACTGTCCTTGTGCCATTAATTTTTCAAAAAAAGGTCAACCATTCAATTTATCAGAGATAGGCTAGGATTTCACCTAAGTTGTCATTACGAGGGAGAATGATACCAAGTTACCAAAATCCTTCATAGCCAAATAAAACTTTTGACTGCAGTTCCTAGAAAATTTCAATACAAAAAACCCTTTGAAATACTTAAGTATTTTAAGAAGATCTATGCTTATTTATTTCTTCATGCAGTAATATTACAAAAAGGTGAACAATACTGAAAGTATGTTCCTGCCACAGCTACTTCAAACAGTAAGATACTTGAAGTGTGTGCTCAGTTAAGGCATTTCAGTTGTGGTTCTAGATTAAACTCAAATACTCACTTCGAGAGCACAACACAAATTTGTTCTGTCTCTTTACAAATCTATTACTTCAATGGAACCATTTCAAAGCCGTAAGTACAGGAGTTTTTGTTTACTTTGAGTGGGGCAAGATTCGAGGGAGAAGGGGGTGTTTAAACAAGCAATGCTACTTAGGAGTACTTTTTCATGCTTCTTCCCTAAACCCACAACATGTACAGGGAGCACTGCCTCCAACTCCTTAAACTGCAACTTCCTCAGGGCTCCAGTAACAATAACGAAAACATTTCAGAGGACAGACTGAGAAATGGATTTGTATTGGTCCACTAAACCACACAAAATTCCCAGTCAAGAAGATTAAGCAGTGACAACAATAATAAAATGCTTTCACAGACTTATTACCTGAGCACTACCTCTGGCATCCAAGAAAAGGAATATCACGAATTACTCTCTTTTTATTAAGGTCGAGACTTTTTAATCCTATTTTTGGACAAGGAAGTGAGTTTCATGGTTTCACACCACTAACAATTAGAAAATCTAGTATCAGTAGGCCATTTCTATTTATTTTTCTTCTTTTACTGAACACTAGAGTAATAGCACTGAAAGATTTTGCTGTTAAATAATTTAAAGATCATAAAATAATACAGAGTCTTCTAGTATTTTAGGTTATTTCTGCAGTATTAGTAAGCATATAAAAAAGTAAACCCACCTGCAGTTGTAAGAATTCATGGTTTTCCAGTCCTTCAACAATCTGAGAAAAACGTTCCCTATTGTGCCTTTCAGCAGCAGTTGTTATAGCACCTAAAAGCTTGTCCAGACTAAGAGAAAGATAAACTGTCAAAAAGCGTACCACAGGCAACTTTCTCATTTTAAAGATACTTAGCCCACTATTTACACAACTCAAGACTTTAGTGCACTGACAGAGAATCTGAATGCATTTAGCAACACTTATCTACATAAAGTTGAAAACAAACCAAGAACCAAGAGTTAAAATATCTACAAGATTAATGTCGAATTAAAAAAAGATTACTAAACCTCTAAATTATTGTGACATCCAGCTAAGAAACAACCAATAAGAAAAAAAAAGAAAAATCACTACCTTTGCAAGACTGCACTAGGTACTAGCTGACGTGTTTGACATCTGGGAATTCTAATAAATCGTCTTTTCAGAAATCAAAATGTTTTTATCTATTTATTGCATACAAAACATGGAGTTTGCCATTTTTAACCTTCAGTAAACTAAGACACTCGATAATTTAAAGCAAACATATGCCAACTGATTATCTTTGTTTTAAAAAGCTCATGGACATATGCTACATAACTTCATAACTTGAACTACTCAGAACTTCAGCTATAAATGTAAACTTTTTGCCCCTGTCAAATTTGTTATGTTTAGGTAGAGGTGATATTTTAATAAAATCCATAACTATATTTATTTCTATATTATTAATATTATCTTCTAAACTAATGAAAAATCTTAACTTGTGGTATCAGATCAGTAATTTTTAAATACAGTAAGTTCATCTCCCCTCCTCAGGGAAGATGTCCCAATCTCAATCCTCCCCACAATAGGCTCAGTAGTGCCCCATGCTAACACACATTGTTCTAAATTGTATTTAAATCTGACAGCTTTCCTTATGGCAATTAAAAGTTCACAATTCCTAATCACACTCATCTGGGATATATGAAATAATTTATATATTCTTTTTTTCAGCAGCCATTTATGAACAGTTACGGCTCATTAAGTCTCCTCTTCTCTACAGTAAGCAAAGTCCTTTCAGATCTCCGCTTAAGCCACAGTTTGTAGATCAAAAGCTCATTTGCTTTTGTCTGATTTAATATTGGATTAATGCATCAGAACAGGTGAAAGTGTTTTTTCATTTAAACCACATTTAGAAAGTAAAGACTTAACAGGTTACATTTGTTTTACTGACAAATTTTCTCACATGTGTCCAAACTGACAACTCATGAGCATTCAAAAAAAAAAAAACAAAATTTGTTTCAATATCTTTCTTACATATTTTCCTCTCCAACAATGCAGATAGCAGAAAGTATTTTCACTGTTTCGGTCATCATGTGTGGTTGCTTTGGATCAATTGCTCTTGATAACAGCAAGAGACTTCTTTCATCTCCTAGAATCCTTTGCAATCCATACTGAAAGAAACAAAAAGCTTACAGTGAAAAGACTGTAATTGCCTAGAATACTCATCATCATCTTTGGGCTTCAGATCCTTAGGAATCCTCACATCCCCTCCCCCCCACATGAAGTTTGGCAACACTCTACCGAAACCTTCTGGCTATTACTGCTTGGGGACACAAGTCAGTCTTCCTGATCTTACATTTGAGACTTTCTCCTAAGTAAGAGAGTCAGCTCCTAAGGAAGATACCGTATCTTGTAAAATCAGGTATCCACCAAAAGACAAACCAGTTTTTATTTTCTATCTGTATCTGAAACACCTCAACAGCATGAAAAATTCCTTCATTTTTTTTCCTCCTGGCAAATTGAAATAGTATCTTCTACACAATGACCAACAGAGGTTTAAATTCTTTTTTGAAACAACTATCTTCTTTTATTTATTGTATATTCTATATCACTTTCAGTACAGCTAAATCAAAAAACACTTACACACTGGCATTTATTTAAAAGTAGCATTATTTTTCTTTTTCATTTTCACTAACTACAGGATATTTGGTAAATCTGATATCTAATTGTTTGAAGTCACACTTTAAGTGTAGGAATAGCGGGGGGGGAAGCACGTGACGATTTAAGTTTACTTTTCCTACTTCATCAAACAGGCTATTCTGTAAGTGAGATTTTACTAAACTGAGTAACAGCAGTTAAAAGTAACTTTAATGCACAGTTATATTTGTTACGGGTGAGGGGGGGAATAAATCATTACAACAACACTTTATATTTTGCTATGAATAAAGCAAAATTACAGGTTTAACATATCAAATTCTAGAAGCATGTCCTGGTTTCAGCTGGGATAGGATTAAATTTCTTCCTAGTGCTGTTTTTTGTATTTAGTATGAGGAGAATGTTGATAACACACTGATGTTATTAGTTGTTGCTAAGTACCCTGTTAGTCAAGGACACTCAGCTTCCATCCTCTGAAAGAGGCTGGGAGGGAGCATAGCTAGGCCAGCTGGCCCAGCTGGCCAATGGGGTATTCCATACCATGTGACGTCATGCTCAGTATATGAATGGTAGGCGTGATCCAGGAAGTACCGATCGCTACTTGGTTATCGGTCAGCGCGGGTGGTGAGCAACTGCATTGTGCATCACTCATTTTGTATATTCTATCATTATTATTATTATTTTCCCTTTTCTGTTCTATTAAACTGTCTTTATCTCAACCCACGAGTTTTTCTCACTCTCACCCTTCCGATTCTCTCCCCGCCCCACCGGTGGGGGGAGTGAGTGAGTGGCTGCGTGGGATTTGGCTGGCTGCCCGGTTAAACCACGACAAAGCAGTACTCACACTTTGTGAACATGAGTAACCCATGTTAGAAACAAGTTAGATACTTTGGTTTAGTTTAAGTTGTTTTATCCTTTACCCACTACCTACCAACTTAAAAACTGTAGCTAAAAATACATTAAAATCATACTCAATTTCAAACCAGGTGAAAAGTACATTATATTAACAAAAACAATCATGTATTGAAATCAGAATTTAGATAGAAATATTTTCCTTTCAATTTCACAAGCAAATTCACTTACCTTAAATCCATACTATCATCCTGTTTGTGAAATATTTTACTTCCAAAAATTAATAGTATTTAACAAAACTAAGACAAAATGCATATTCAGAAGATTTATGAACAAGACTCTCAACAAAAAGTTACACTAAGTTTACAATGTACATTTCCAAAGAGTCAGCTGATACCAGATACACAAGCTTTCCTTCCTTTTCTGAGATTCAACATGCTACATAGATCTTGAAGTCAACAAAACCCAATCATGCTAGAAGTATCTGAATTTAAAATATTTCTTACTTTATTGTTCATAAATGCTTTGAGGCACTGGATAAGTTTATGTTGATTCTTCTTATCAATACTTTCTTGCCTTGAAAGGAAGGAAAATAACATAAGTACAAACAATCTTCACAAGCTCCCCCACCCCTCCACTTCAAAAGATCCAAGTCCTTACTGTTTCTTGTCCAGAAGCTTTTCCAATACATCCAACAGAAGTCCAAGACCTTCATGTCCAAAATTGTTAACCCAGCTGGAAAAAGGAAGAAAAATGCTTTTAATTATTTCTTAATCAAATGTAAAACTTGGAAAGTTATGTCTCCAACACTGCTTGCACATCTCTTCATAGACGCTGCTTTAAGTCTCACTTCCCAGGAAGACCTGATCAACCATTAAGACAAATGCTTAGTTCCAACAACGCGAAGTTGTTGAGAACCACTGTGAAAGGTGAGAAGATATTGCAGACAGTTGCAAACATTTCACTTTTGCTTTTCCAGTACGCTGAGAACTACTTTCTCATGCCAAGAAGTATTAACATAATTACTCTGGTTTCAAAAAAACTCCACAATTCTTTATTGCTAAGCAAAAACAGCATGATGAAAACTACAGCAGAAATTATTACTTACCTGACTGGATTGCTAGTTAGAGACACTCTCAAAGACTCTAGACAATTAAGAAGCTTTTCCTCTGAAATTCCAGATCTCAATTCATGAATATATTCTTGCGAGGACAGTGTGCATTCATGCTTGCTGTTTTTCAGTCCGCCCTATCACAGAAGACAGAATGCTGCTTAATGTTATATTGATCATAGTAGCATTTAGGTGATAACATGTAAGGCCAGTATTTCTGTGTAAATTTTAAAATCACCATTTTCCCTGTACAACTATTAAAGACCCATGACTGGACTTTGATTTGTCATAAGTGTTTAGTAGTCTAGGTTTTCCATCATAAGGGTAAGTATTTTTCTGGAATCTTCTTCACTTCTTTGAGTAAAGTGCATGTACTACATCTTGGATACAAAAATTTAATTCCATCATTCTGTTCTATTAACATGTTTAACTGCTACACACTCTCATTTAACATCTACTTCACAACACTGTAGTAAAAACAAACATAAACAGAGAGACATAAAACCCCCCACACTTGTTATTAAGCTTGTCTGATCATTCCCACTGTACCCGTCTTTGTTTTAAAAAAGCTATGCATTATCACTATGGACATATCCTGACTCTCAAATTAATTCTCTCTTCTACAAAAGAAAGGGAGAAGATAAGCCACTGAAAATTACTTCGAAAAGGAGCTGGTATCCACCAACTGTTAAATCAGTGTTTTTAAAATCATGCAGCTACATGACTCCATCATTTCTTGCTGTACCATAATTGCATGTTAGGCCACTAATCGAGATCTCTAGAGGATCGTGTTTGCTACAAAAGAATCACATGGAAGATTTGACAAAGAGCTCATCTCCCTCCTAAAGCGTCATTACAGAAGAATAACTACCTACAAGGTATTTCAGTATTAAAATGCCTGATAACCAGTTTTTAGAGCGGTAGTATTCAAAACCATGAACAATATACAAAACATTTTACCAAAGGGTGCAACTAATCTTTTGTACAGCTCTGACAAGTTGCAGAAAAGTAGGCTTATCTCAGAAGAGTGGTTATGATTAGTATGCAGTTCCTAAAGCTCCTTAGCTCTAAATGGTGTATTGAAGAGAACCTGATAAAGACGTGTCATGGGTGTAAAGGCAATATGAAAAGTGCCTGACCTAGAATAGGATTTTTATGTATTTGGTTTTAATTGTATCAGGAACTTCTCTGACTACTGTAATCTTGTAATTGTCTCTCTTTCAAAAAGTTACACTTTAAAGTAGTTTCTGGTTTGCTCTATTCAAATTCTTACCATACGTTTTCAAAAAATGGCACTAAGCATGGCTGATAACAAAATGACTTGTCTACATTTAAGTTAATGATTTTGACCTACATACATTCCAGTATTAATTCATATAACAGAACTACGTAAATGTTCACAATGTACTTTCAGATTGTTTGTCCTCACCTCAACAAAACAAAAATCTGACACAGATTGTGAATGCATCAAGACAACAGTGTCCTCTGGACTGTGTCAACTTTGGAGATGTTTCTTGCTGACATGCATAGCACCTTTAGCTGGACAATACATGCCAGTTATAAATCGAAGGACCAAGACAGACATAAAGATGAGTAAATAGGATATAAAGGAACTATAATCTGTCACTATCAACCTCCTTAACAAACAGATGCTCTTCCACCAAAGGAAAAGGAAATAAATGGGTGGAGGTTATCTTTATAAGAGTTGAACCGACTTTAAATCAGAGAAGTATATTATCACTACATATTAAAAATCATAACAGTACAGAAAAATCACCACTCTGAAAGACCATAAGGTAAAGAACTAGAAAACAGGAACAGCTTTATGCTGTTCATTGCATTGGATGGAAACGGAAAAAGATTACATGTGTAACTAATGTACACTATGTACACAATACTGGATACAGTTTTTGTCATTTCCAACAACAATCGTTCCCAAACCCCTAAGAGTAAAAGAAGAAAACAGAAACACTGCTGTCAGCCACAAAATCTATAAAGAGATAAGATCATGGAAACTTCAATCAAATGCCATTACATGTTAAGCTAGACCCTTGAAAAGCACTCTAGAATGCAAGATGTATTTGTTTTTCCAAAAAAGATTATTTCCTGTGGTTAGCCCTTCCACTGTAGTCTGCTGCAAGCTCCAAAGGAGGTACCTATTCAGATGAGGCATGTAAGGTCTCTGCTACGTTTTCTTTCATATTTAAACCAAGGTGTGCTCTTGCTGCCTCCTCTTTCTATGCGTCGATGACATTAATGAAGCTCCTCTACTCTGTCTAGCGCCTTGTTTTCAGAGGACCTATGACTCCCTCAAAAACAGTTAAAATAAGTTAAAAGTTAGAGGAATTGGCAGCGTGATCTCCTAAGCCTCCTTACCATGCCAGACAGGCATACTTCTCCATTGTATGACTAAGCACCTTTAACTGCATAGCAATAGGGGACCATTCTTCCCCTCTTCTTCAAAACAGATGATCACTAAAGGTGGCTCATAAAAACGCATTCTCAAAACCTTTCACCCAAATACTCCAATTCATGCTAGAGAATTCTCAGCCTAACAGGATTACTTTCTGTTATTTTCTGCAATCAATTTCTCATCTCAATCCACTGCCATGCTCTAGCCTCTAGCCATGCTAACTGGAGTGCTACAACCAGGTGCTATTTCTTTTATTTCCCTATTCAAAGAGAGTTTGATTCGAATACTATTTTTAAGTAATGCTATGCCTTTCCGTGGATCAGCTTCTAATATATACACTTCTCATTTACTTTGAGGTACAAAGTCTCAGTGAAAGTTATGCTTTATATGAGAGCATCTAATAAAGATGAAGGCAAAAGCTAAGTACAAAGAAACTCAGAGGGTTAGGTCCCACACCAGTGTGTTAGAAATTACTTTATGACCAGTTACCTTCACAGTGTTACAATTAAGGCATAGAATTATTCATTCATGACAACTCAAATGAAAGCCCAGACCACACATTTAAAATCCTTCTCTGAGAAAGTTAGAAGCAACGAAATTTTAGTGAAAAACCAAGCTTAAGGGAACTCCTGGAAGTCTCACAAAACCACAAGTATATAAAAGAAAACCTAGTTTGCTTTCCCATTAAGGAGGTAAATTTAATCAATTCAAATCTGTGTGTAGGACACATTTCAGGGTTTAAGGGACAACAGTGACAGAGAGACAGGACAGACACCTTACAGTGCAGGATGTAGTGAAAAATGAACTTAAGCACAGTTTTCTCTCTACACAAACTTTTTTTTTTTAATATTTAGAAAACCAGGCAACAATTAAATATTTTAGATATTTTTATTTCAGTTTATCTTACTCTACTTTGACTCCAAGTGATTTCAAAGTTGTTAGCTAGACAAAGAAATTCTTCATCCAGGACCTTCGTAAATATTCGAAAGGACTTAGCAAATGTCCAGCTTTATACACTACTCAGATGTGCCAACAAAAGCCTGTAAACAAGCTTGAGAACCAATATCTAACAAAATGGGAAAGCAAAAGCATTTTGCCCTCTATGGGGAATAAGCAGATATTCTGCCTACTTGCTGGTAAAGAACTGTGAAGCACACCTGAACCAAATGGATGGGCTGTAACAGTTAAAATACAAGATCAGAAAAACCTGCACAAACTACTCCTCTTTGAGGCACCAGACAATTCAGACCTCATTAGGTCTTAAGCTAAAGCCAAGTTCAGCTGAAGAAGTTATAAGTATATCGTTTCCATGAGACAGTGTTTACTTCAGTGAGAATGCTGGCAGCCAGTACATAGAATAGAAATCTCACAATATCACAGGTGGTCGCTTCTATCCAATTCACTATACCTGTTCCATAATTTAGAGGAAAGAAGAAAAAAAAAAAAAAAAAAAAAAAATCACTCTTTAGACAGAAACAAGAAATAACTGGTACCAGCATAATTATTAAAGAAGTGGAAGTAATAACTTATACTCCCTCCCCCACCACAAACGACTAACTGAAGAGTTTTTGCATATTCTCTATTAATACAATTCTGTTTCTATCTCAAGCAAAGAAACCACTATATTTAAATTGGAGTATAACAACAAAGATAAGACAAGTTATTTGGGGGAGGTTTTTGTTTGCTTTTAGGAAAGCAATAAAAGTGTTTTCAATGATTTTTTTTTTTAAACCACATATACTCTAGTTGTTGCACATTTGACCTGGAAAAGCAGTATCCTTGTTCAAGCTATGAAGAAATACTCTACCAGCTCCTGAACTAGAAACTGGATGTTTACACAGTTCATATACACTTCACCCTGTAGATATGAGCCAAACACATTAATTAACCCATTAAAAACAGAACTAACAAGCTAATCCTACTTTAGACATCTACATTAATGCCGTACAGATAAACAAATGCACAGCTGCCATTTCAATGCAATTATCATTGTCTATAAAAGCAAGGAAAGGTTACTTTGCAGGCAGCTAAAATGACAAGTGGGTACCAGTGCTTGAGATCCCAAGTAAAACTCAAATAAGTTAAAGCTCTAAACTCCCCATTAAGAGGCAAACCTCTTCTCTCCAATTGTCACTACAATCCAACAGTACTAGCATCAACAGTCTGAAATTCTTCTCCTCCCTACAACAGTAAATCTGTAAATCTTCAGGAAAATAACTACATATGCCAGCAGATGCAATCTACTCCCAAGGGATGAATCCTATAAAAACATATACTGAGAAGCAGCACACCAAGATGCATGCATTCTTTAAGCAATAATATGCAGAAGCCATACTCTAAGAGGGACATTTCTTATTTTACTATTTTGCAAGCTATCTGTGCAAAAACATGCTTTTAATGCATAACTATTCTTGCTCTCCATCAAACTCCAAATTAAAAGGCATGGGGAAGAAAACAGATATTAGCGTTTCTCCACTACCCATTCTGCATACACCAGTTTCCTTTATAAAATCATCTCTTCACAAAGCAGCTCTTCAGGCTAATTCATATCATAAGGAAATTACATGGCAAACGGCTTTTAACGCACTGAACTGGAGAGTTAATGATTTCTTCCCACAAAAATCAAACACTTTTAAATACCTTCATTGTGCTTACATATTTTCTTAATCAGCATACGAACCAGTACTGTGTACAAAACTAAAAAGTACTGGTGAATACAGACAG